TGGCAGTTTTTGTTTATTGTTAGAAATAGCAATGTAAAATTAAAATGGCTGTCAGACTGGTTTAATACAACCAAAAATAGACTCACTCACTAACATACGGATTTTGGATGACCAGAGAATGAAGAAAGGATATAAGACAGTCACCACCTCCTTTTGAGGAAGGCAGTTCTCAGGGCTCTGCAGATATCTAAAAGGGAACTGACGGAAACCTTCAGGAGCTTCGGAATTAAGGGAAGTTCAGTGTTGCAGGGAGGAAGCCCTTGCAACACCAGAATGCAAAACTATTGAAAAAAGAGAGGCCAAGGAGAAGCCTGCCTTCATCGACTGTATACATAGATGTGGAATGACCCCATGCTTTAAACATTTTGCTCAAACTGAGGCATTCAAAGCACTCCCTATGTTCTTATCCAGGCACATCGGATTTGTCCTGAGGATGAAAGCTAAATGCACCCCAAATACTCACCTCATCTGTTCTATTTGTTTTGTACATTTTTTTTTTTCTATCTCTGGATCAAGGTGCTAGAAATTAAGCTAGGAGTACAGCATTTCATTCTCCATTTCTCAGCTAATTTTTTTGCCACATTTGAAGTGTACATTAAATTATGCAGACTAGGGACTTGACCAGAATACACCACGGCTCTCCTCTGGCATAATACCAACAGCCTCCTCTCTGTGAAGAGCTCAATCCTCTTTTCAGACTACCTCCAGAGGGGCTTTGGGCTTCCTAAACAGAAAGCACTGAAGCCTTTCCTTATTCAGTGCAAGAAGACAAATGCAATCGGCATATTTCACCTAGACACATTTCACAAAGGCAGTGCGTGCGCAGCTAGCAGGTTTCAGAACAAACAAAACCACAGTTAATGAGAACAGATTAACTCAAGCATATGGCCGACAGCAAAAGAAAATCCTAAACGGAAGAATCGCAAATCTCCACAGATGATTCAGAAGGCAGTAAAGGTCCCCGAGCCGCAGTCAGGGGCTAGAAGCATACCCAGGGGAAGTATCATCTCCTTTTCCTGTTTTTATCATCCTTCCTCCTGGCCACTATCGGAGACATAATAAAGGCTACGGAGATCTTTGATATGATACAGGGAGGCTGCTCTTACATTTTTTTGATTGATGAGAGAAACAACAACAATAGCAGTTAAAAAGCAGGTGAAGAGACAGCAAACTACTTGCTGTGAGATGAATCAGAAGTTGAGAGGAACTGAAGGTCACTCGGTTGAGACAAGAGACAGATTCTCCTGTAAAAGTCCTAGTTGTACTGCTTATGCAAGCATGTTCTGGTCTCCAAGATGGGAGTGTATATACTCCCAAAGGAGGAACCTCAACAAATAATTCCTTAGTAAGAATAGAAAACGGCAACTTTTTTGTTGTTGTTCATTCATTACTCAGAGAACCTGTATTCTTCTCTTAAAAAAAAAAAATAATCTCCAAATAATTATTTTTCAGTTGTGAACCTCAACAAGGTAGGCATATACTACAGAAAATCTGGCAAGAATAAATGAGTGGGTAGACTCATGCATATTTTTGCATGGTTGAACAAAAAAGGGTTAAACTGACATATTACTTGCTTTTGTCTCCAGCCAAGAAATACAATAAAAAGGAGAAAGTTCATTCCCAAATCTACTGAAAATTAACATAAGTCTTAAAGTCCTCCAAAGTCTTAGCTGCATAGAATAGTATTATAAGTCAACATTTTTAAAATATGGGTATTTTTGCTAAGTAGAAAAAAACCCCTAGCTTTGAAGATACAACTGGTACATACTCTCCATTTTTATATTTAATTCAAGGAGTATTTTTACACGTCATTTTATTCAAAACATGAAAAACAGGGAGCCCATGAGGAAATAGCCCTTTTCCTTCATCCAATTTGATATTTCAACTCTCTTTTTGAGAGATTTGGTGAATCTGTCTGAAGGTGACAGACTGGAGATACTAGTTATACAGACACCTGCTTTTCCTGGTGTAGTTCAAGACACATCCAAAAAAGACCTTTTCTTTTTCAGGATTTGTGTGCTATTTAATAGCAAATCAGAAGTCCTCCAAAACAGGATAACAATTAATCCCTTGAGAACGTAACACTTTCAAGAAAGTCTAGAAGATGCCCAAGCAAAAAAAAAAATGCACACAAACACACACACCCCCCCGGTCCCACGCCCCACCAAATGATACAATAAAACCCTGTGTTCTCCAGAAGTGACAGTATCCGTGTAATGGTACAACACTCTTCAAAGCAATCTCCAGGAGGGAAACGGGTACTGAAGCCTAAATATTTGGCACTAGTGGTTGACTAACAAGAGGTATTCCCAACAGCTATTATGCCCTGCTTCATTAGTGTGCTCAGAACTAAACAGACATTCATCTGGCACCAATTCAAGGCTGGTGTGTACCTTGCAAATATCCTTCCAGCTCAACTCATAACAAAGATGGGAGGAAAAAAAAAAAACAACCAACCACCACCCAAAAGAAGACTCTTACAGTACCAAGCAAATGTTACAAAAGCTAATGTGCTTTCCCAGGTTTTACAGAGAACAGATTAGCAGCTGAAAAGTATGTATTTCAAAAGCAAATGCAGTATTGATACTCTTCTTGCCTCTGGGAACAGGCAAGGGCTCTACAACATTACTGTAAGAGTCATCCACGATGTGCTTTACATCCATCCCATAGCCAAATGAAGAGATGCAGCTAAAGGAAAAGATGCGCTATACTTGTTGCATCGCTTGGCATATTCTTGGTTTCAAAAATTCCTATTCTAGAAACAATCACTTGTGTTTTAGTAAGGCAACCTACACAGCCTACAATCCATGGAAATTCGGAACTCCAGAGAACCTACTATAAAACATCTGTCAGAACACTATTCACTTGCAATGTGATTTATATTAATATATTCCCCCCATACTAGAGAACCCTGTAATCTCCGTCTCACTTCCATTAATGCTATCTTCCACCCAGAACAGAATAAATTGTAATCCCCGGCCAAAGATAAGGAACCAAAAAGTACATCATATTTAAAATGCTGTAGTTTAGTTACTTTCTAGAAAGAATGTACTGTTGAGGTGAGCAGCCTTCTAGGTACTTAATTTGATATACCTTGACTTTCATCACCTATTGCTTCTGGAGACATTTTGTACATTTAAAATAAACCATTTATATATATGGGATAGCTTCCTTACTTAATATATTTAAAAAATGGTTGCCAAGTCCTTTATGTGAAGCCCAAAATTTCAAAACTATTTGGAGTAAAACTACATCTCTATTAACAAAATAAAGGTGCAAGAGCAACCTTAAAATGCTACTAGAGAGGTAACCTGAACTTTATTTAGAATTTTAACTGAAACACCTAGCAAACACAGCTGAGTAAGTGGGGGATCTTTCTGTCTTTTTTGTAATTTCCTTGTTGCTCATGACATCTGACTATTCTTCATTTAAAAAGACAGTTCAGGAGGTAATTATTCTACTTCTTTGCAGACAGTTTTGCGTATTAAAATAAAGTAACAGACATAACAAAACAACTGCTCAGTGCAAACATGTAGAACACTGATATTCACAGCTGCAAAGAACAGAAAGAAAAAAAGACTAAAGCCTGTTGGTCTCACAGTATTTTACATGAGTTTCAGTATCATTATCTTCACTTTGTAAAGAAAG